TTTGCTGCTCTTGTGTGTTTTCGACTTGCCTCTTTCTCGCACTCCTTTCTGTGTTCTATTGTTCGTGTGTTGAGTCGGCGTCCGGTTTCTCCTATGTATGTTTTATTGCAGAGTTTGCATGCGATTTCGTAAATAAACTACCAATATATTTCGAAGCTTTTCTTGTTACTCATTTCAATTTATGTAAAATAACACAGAATTTGAATAGTAAATGTGAAGATCTTGCTGTTCAGGAGTTAATTTCTTCATTTTAATGTTTCCCCAGATGGTTCTGCAGAAGATGGACTGTCAGTTCCAGATGTGATGCAGTGGTTAACTGGCCAGGCGCACCGGCATTTGCTACTCTCAGAGAGAGAAACTTTTAAGATACATGTCAATTTTGACCACACATGCATGGAGCGAATGCCACAGCACACCACCTGCTACCCAGTTGTTAGTGCGTGCACACAAACAATAACATTTCCAAGTGTGCATTTCGTCAATAAGAATGACTTTAAGGAAAAAATGGAAACGGCAGTCAAGAGCGGTGCAGGCTTCCACTTGATCTAACATAAGATTCCATTACTACTGTTGTTACTCTACTTATGTAGGTCTGTTTTCTCATCCGTTAATGTAAACCCATCCACTGAAACATTTTATTTTAGATTAACTGTGAAAAGAATACCCTCGTTACGTTTACAATGTTACAGTTTCAAAGTTGAAATAAGAAATAAAGGTTTACATTTTTCAATGGTATTTTCACATTTAATGCGCAGTCATTATGTTTGAACAGCTCAGTTAATTAAAAACACAAAATACAAGCCAACAACAATTAATCAATATTCTAACAGCATTTTAGTGGAATCAAACATTATGAAGGACTTATTATCTATTTACTGAATGCAGAATTTGCACCAGTTGAAGTGTCTGGACATAAAGCTCTTGGTCACTCAGAGATGTGGTTGGATTTTCTAATCCCTGAAGGACAGCAAGGTTCTCTTCTGAGAGAGGAGAAGGGATCTCTGACACCACAACCCCTCCATCCACTAGGTCAGCATAAAAGCTGTAATCCTGGAAAAGATGCTCCACTGCCTGAAAGACAGAAGTTGGCTTTGATAAGCATCCAAGCCTTATATTGACAACCCAAAACTGCAGGTTTCATTTTTCCTGCTCCCCTTTTTATCCAGAATTATTTTAAGCCAACAGTGGCTTATCTGTGTTTTTTTGATGGACTAAATGTTATTAGAATTATGCTAACGATGAAAACAGAACAGTGCTTCATAAAGAAAGTGAAGTGCACCTCTACATTTGGCTCCTCAACAGGCGTTTGGAGCATCCCAATGTGCCACAGCTGCTCTGGAGAAAGGTTGCCTTCAGTTTTGATAGGGTGGAAGTTCCAGCTGTGCAGGAAGCACTGTAAGTCGGATTTCAGCCGTGGCAGGAACACATAATGGATACAAAAATGGTGTATCTCGTCTGATAGATCAATCAGTTGCCCTTCTTCCATTGTGTGCAGTACATTGTAGTATTTGCAGGTGACAGCTGACCACACATCACGCCACAGCCTCTCGATCCTGGAAATATGAATAAACAAAGATTTGAGGAAATAAATTGAATAAAAAACAAATACATATTCTCCCTACAGTGTTATTTCACTTTCTGCTCACTCAATTCGTTGTCCTTTACCTTTGATTGTGGACACTTTTGCCAGCAATGAAGCTGCCACGCCCAAAGCCTCGAACAGAAAACATGCATCGGGCAATGTCCACATTTTCCACCCCCTGATCGCCTCGAACTCTGAAAGTATTTGTTTTTTTATGTATTGTGTTATCATTTGACTACATATGACGAAAGTCGATATGTGGAACAGTCTACAGTACACTGAAAGAATATAGAACATTTAACAGTAATATGACAATATGCATTGTACCTCGAGGGCCATCCATGTTTTCCAACACCATCCAAGAAGAAAGAAAAAGCAGTTGAGGCTTTGTTGTCTGCGGCAGCATTGAGATACATGATCTGTAAAAAGGATGGTAGAGGCAGAATAGTTTATTTTAATTCAATAGCTGTTTAAATTATCATTCAACAGAACTCATACTTTTCTTGAGAAGTCGTCAATCCCACCAAATATCAATGTTATATCTGCAAACACAGGACAAATAAAAATTAAATCTGTCTTGTTGTTAGGTTTGAAAATGCTGAATCACTTGGATCAAGAATCTATTGTTTTTTCTTCTATGTTAAGAGAGAAAAGTCCTGAAGAAAATAGACAATGAAACACTCACCTGATTAATTTGTGGTTGGTATCAATGTGAACCAAGGACAATGGCGCAGGAACACAGTAACTTCTACGAGCTACAAATCCAAGTTGTATCATTCTAGCCAAAATTCCAGCTCCATCTACCCGGTGCATCACAGCCTGAACCCTATGCCACTGCACCCGGTGTCCTCTGGCTAACAGCTCACCTTTCATCAGCCTAAACCCAGCATGGGGCATTCTACTTTTTATGGACCTCACAAGAACATCAAGTTCATCGTCAGATATTTTGGAATAGCACCCATGAACAGACAGGCCATGCTCTTTCATCCGCCTGTTAAGTGTTCTTCTTGAAACACCATACAATTGGGCCAAATGTTCTAAAGGAAGTGCAGTGGAAAGTAGATGTTTAAGATCATCAGACTGTATTTCAAGACGAGGGCGTCCCAGATTTCCCACAGCAACAGAAACAATGTCCAATGCATTAGTTGAGTCTCCTCCCAATGATTGAACAGGCAAGCTGAGAATGTTGATCAAGTCCCAGAGACCGTTCAAAAGTTCTGTTGGGATATTGAGATGATGAGATGCCATTGACGCCAAAGAATACTCTTGCTGAGTAACATCCAAAAGGTAATCCAAATCGAGAGATTCGTTTCTGAGAACCAAGCTAAATCTTGTCCGAATCCTCTGGAGGAGTTCCTCTCGCACTTGCTCCTGCAGGCACAAACATGGCAAAGTAAACAAAATAAACACTAATACACTGCTTAATGATCCTGGGAAAACAATTCCCAATATGTTTCAGATGTTTCCATATTCAACACACAACACAAATTAATGGTCAACTATCAAGTTTCAGCAAAGTCAATAAATGAGCTGGCGTGCGATTTTGCTTAACAAATAAGCGAAAATCCATGGAGTGGCACAGCATTGCTGAAGCTGTCAATGCTTTGGGGGGCTTGTCCTGTGTGCGCATGAAGCGGTACAAGCGACAATGCTGCTGGACTTCATAATTTTATCCTTCTCAGCAGCACTGCAGGTGCTCTTCATGTCAAAAATGTGCGTAAGCCAGGTCCTTAGTCAACTTAAAGTTGTGCACATTTTTCTGCTACGCTTTCTTTTATAAATCCCAAAGTTTGTGTGGAAAGTTGCTTATGCAGTTTTCCGTTTTGTGCGTAAGCAAGCTTTATAAATGAGACCTCTGGTGCTTATGTGACATCTGTTACTAGGTAAAAGTTGTAAATGTAGTTTAAGTGTCTTCCCATAATATCTTATGTTGATTTTGTCTGAGTTATTCCATTAAAAATCTGCAGTTTGACACAAAATTATGCAACTTGAAAATCCATTCACCACCACCCCTGCCACAGTTCAGAAAGTTTGATTTAGATTCTGATAAAAAAATAAAAATTAACTCTTACCTGTGATTGCATGTCAGCAGAGTCCTGCTAACACATATAACACCCTCTGTTGGCAGAGTTAAAACACAGGTTAGCTCCAGTAGCTACAAACTCTCTGACTTTGCACTGATTCCTATGGCTAATCAACAAGATTATTAATGTAGGCTGCACACGCAGGGGTGGGGGTGGGTGATATGCGCTGGTTTAGTTATGATACCGTTCCTCGCTTAGACTGGCAGGTGACCAAGCAAAGCCCTGCTAAAGCATTCGGGTACTGGCTAGCACTTTGGCTAGGTAGCTAGCGATCTAACGTCTGGTTAATGCCTGACTTGGCTTTACTTAAGGGTTTTAACTCAGGTTTTCCAAGAAAATATCAAATAAACGATCAATACTCACTTTGATCCACAGTACACAGGGGAAACATGAACATGGGTGGCGCTAATACCCGTGAGGAACAAGTAAAATCGCGGGACAGCGTCACTTCTGGTTCCGGGTCACAAACTGTCATTCAGGATCACACTGTCCAATGGGAGAGCACTTCTCTTATGTCCCACCCACCCGAGAGGGTTGGGCCAGAATTGCAATCAAAACCTCACTCAGCGCAAAGGAGAAAGCCGAGAAGTGAAACTGCAAATCTGGTAGCGAGAGCAAAAATCTGAGCAGTGAGAATGAAACAAAGGGAAATGAAAAGAAAAATACGTGGAGTCAAACATAATAAATACAAATACTTTTATTACTCATTTTAATAAGTTGATTCGTATAGTAAGTTTCACTTTTGAAACTACTTTTTTTTTGCAATTTATTTTTTTTCTCGCACATTCTTAATTTTTGTTTGACCTTCTAAGAGTTTTTCTTGAAATTATTGGCCCAAATCTAGTCCCATAAAATAGCAACACTTAAAACAACTTCCGAACTGGAAAAAACAAATATACGCGATAAATATCTGTTTAAGTACCGGACGAGGTTATCTCTGCTTTCTCAATGTACATATTGGTAGATATGCTGAGTTTTAAGGTGAAATCCCGGGGAATTTCGTCTAGAAATGCAGTTACCCTAACCGTGCGCGATCCCGCGGTGGCTAATCATTTTTTGGCAGCCAGTCGATTTATGGTACAACACCATTTTTGAGGTGTTTATGAATGTGAAAGACACCCAGCATCCTGTGATGGGACTAATAACATCAAGAGATAATAAATAAAGTAATATTTAGGTAAATTTAACCCTTTACACGTGACCAGGACACTGTGATCAATTTTTGGCAAGGGAAATGATCATTTGTTGCCATTTTGCCTGTTTTAAATTTGAGCTTTTATTTTGGAAAATAAACGTGACGGATGCAGTTAATGTCCACTGAGCGCATGCGCACACTGGACTCGAAGCATCAACGTCACGTGTTTTGGTTTTACAGCCATTAAAATCGCCGTTAGTCTAAAGGCCACGCGTTAGGTTTGCTGATCCACTGGAAGCCTGGACCATGTCCAGCATTCAGCTCCTCAAGGTGCTCGTTAACGAGCGGCTCTCCGCAGCCGCAGAGGAGATCTTCGAGGCCGTGAAAAGAACCTTAACAGGCTATGATGAGGAGATCCAACGACAACGAAGGATGCTGCAGAAAATCTCCAACCAGGACGATCACTCAGGTGTGTGGGCTGTTGGCGTCTTTCATTTTTATATTGTACTTCCGGTTCCGACTATCCCCTGGATCGCTACGGTCTTGTTGACGGTCAGTGGCTGTGTCTCAATTCAGGGTCTGCATCCTACCTCGGCCGGATTCGTCGGCCGGTTACGTCACAGCGCCGCGACTCGGCCTGTCCCAATTCGAAGACTCCTTCAAATGCGGTCGACGAATGCGGCCTTCTTTTCGCCTGAATGAAGGATGGGTCGGGTGTATCGTTGGCTGTGTCTCAATTCAGGGTCTGCATCCTTCGAAGGACCCAGCCCACCCGGCCGACGTGGGCTGCGTCCTCCGTCGGCCGGGTAGACCGGATGTTAACGGCTGTGAATTTGGACAGGCCTAGCCTTCATGAACTCCCTCGGCGAACGTTCCGTCGCCTAGCAACCGTGGAACCGCTGGGCAGAAGGGAGAAGGAACTTTAAACGATGGAGCTCGACGTTTTATTTAGCTTTTTGACCCCCAGAAACCCAAATTTAGAAAACAACTGCAAAATATTTTTTTAACCTTTCACATGTTCTAGGAGGCCAGATAAACGGGCCTATTTACACATTTTAACAGCCAATAGTGTTGCAGAACTGAACAATAGGACCTATTAGCAATGTAAATGTGGTTTTAAAAAGAAAAAAAAATGGGGAAGGTTTATTCTTGTAGACTTAAATCTGATGTTGTAATATTACAACCGTGGGTCTCTGGGGGTTAATCATTTCCTTGACTGTTGGAGAGCTAATTCAGAGAAAATACTTTAGACTAGCTGAGCCTGAGCAAAGATGTGATAATAGTTTTTAATACTTTCTAAGGGTCTTAATTTGACCAAAACCGATTTATCACCTTTTAAGACTTTTCAAGACCCAGCGGATACCTTCTAGTAAACAATTCTCATTTGTAAACAAAAATAAAATTCAAGAGTTTAATGCAGAACTGATTTTATTTAGATATTTCTTTTACATGTACATGTTTAATCTTCCTTAACCATTTTTTTCTAGCAAAGTAAAAAGCTGTCAAAGTTCTTCCTTCTCTCCTGGGCTCCTGCTGCTCTGCCTCCCTCTGCAGCCTCATGTCCTCCCAGATCAGCTCCAGAAGCTCATCGCTGGCACCTTCCCCTGGGTGCCCATTTTCTCCAGAATAGTCTTAACAAACATGTAAGAAAAGAAACAGGAAGAGAAAAGAGGACAACGGGTTATTCCTTTCATGTTTTCGCAGAAAAAAAATAAACTCAAACGAGTTTTTAAAATATGAGATGTTATTGTACCTCCATGCCACAGCCGCCGAATACTTTGCTCCGGTGATCATGTGGTCCATCTCCGTCCTAAGCTTAATAAATTCCCTGGTTTTCTCTTTTGTTCCTAAAATACAAACTTCTATTAAAATCAGGGGGAAACGTAGCGGGAGAAGTACGACACCGAGCGCGGCCGAACATACGAGCCGAGACCGCAATACAAGCACTTTTACTGTAACATTTCTAACTAAAATAACGTTCATGTATCACAAAAAGTCCTTAAACTGACAGTTTTCAAGTTTATACTTACATGTATATGCGCAATCCTCTCCGACAGCTCCCGCTTCACTGTCCGCCATTGTTTTTAAGTTTTTCTGCCGGCCGGCCCGCAAGGCATCTTGGGAAATGCTACCTATTGAAGGATACACCCGACCCATCCTTCATTCAGGCGAAAAGAAGGCCGCATTCGTCGACCGCATTTGAAGGAGTCTTCGAATTGGGACAGGCCGAGTCGCGGCGCTGTGACGTAACCGGCCGACGAATCCGGCCGAGGTAGGATGCAGACCCTGAATTGAGACACAGCCATTCAATAGGTAGCATTTCCCAAGATGCCTTGCGGGCCGGCCGGCAGAAAAACTTAAAAACAATGGCGGACAGTGAAGCGGGAGCTGTCGGAGAGGATTGCGCATATACATGTAAGTATAAACTTGAAAACTGTCAGTTTAAGGACTTTTTGTGATACATGAACGTTATTTTAGTTAGAAATGTTACAGTAAAAGTGCTTGTATTGCGGTCTCGGCTCGTATGTTCGGCCGCGCTCGGTGTCGTACTTCTCCCGCTACGTTTCCCCCTGATTTTAATAGAAGTTTGTATTTTAGGAACAAAAGAGAAAACCAGGGAATTTATTAAGCTTAGGACGGAGATGGACCACATGATCACCGGAGCAAAGTATTCGGCGGCTGTGGCATGGAGGTACAATAACATCTCATATTTTAAAAACTCGTTTGAGTTTATTTTTTTTCTGCGAAAACATGAAAGGAATAACCCGTTGTCCTCTTTTCTCTTCCTGTTTCTTTTCTTACATGTTTGTTAAGACTATTCTGGAGAAAATGGGCATCCAGGGGAAGGTGCCAGCGATGAGCTTCTGGAGCTGATCTGGGAGGACATGAGGCTGCAGAGCAGCAGAGAGCACAGGAGAGAAGGAAGAACTTTGACAGCTTTTTACTTTGCTAGAAAAAAATGGTTAATGAAGATTAAACATGTACATGTAAAAGAAATATCTAAATAAAATCAGTTCTGCATTAAACTCTTGAATTTTATTTTTGTTTACAAATGAGAATTGTTTACTAGAGGGTATCCGCTGGGTCTTGAAAAGTCTTAAAAGGTGATAAATCGGTTTTGGTCAAAGTAAGACCCTTAGAAAGTATTAAAAACTATTATCACATCTTTGCTCAGGCTCAGCTAGTCTAAAGTATTTTCTCTGAATTAGCTCTCCAACAGTCAAGGAAATGATTAACCCCCAGAGACCCACGGTTGTAGTATTACAACATCAGATTTAAGTCTACAAAAATAAACCTTCCCCATTTTTTTTCTTTTTAAAACCACATTTACATTGCTAATAGGTCCTATTCAGTTCTGCAACACTATTGGCTGTTAAAATGTGTAAATAGTAGGGCTGCAACAACGAATCGATAAATTCGATGAAAATCGATTACTAAAAGCGTTGGCAACGAATTGCGTCATCGATTCGTTGTGTCGCACAACTCTTCCAAAAGCGTCCCCCCCCCCCCCCCCCCCCCATTCCCGCCCGCCGTTGCGCGCAGACCAGAGCAAGTCAGATCAGCGCGAGGGAGAGCCGCAGATCAGCGCGAGGGAGAGCCGCAGATCAGCGCGAGGGAGAGCCGGCAGATCAGCGCGAGGGAGAGCCGCAGATCAGCGCGAGGGAGAGCCGCAGATCAGCGCGAGGGAGAGCCGGCAGATCAGCGCGAGGGAGAGCCGCAGATCAGCGCGAGGGAGAGCCGCAGATCAGCGCGAGGGAGAGCCGGCAGATCAGCGCGAGGGAGAGCCGGCAGACTTGCGCTGCTGCGAACCGGTTCCGCATTGTTGCACAGCGATCCAGGCAGCTGCTTCCAGCGCACGGTCCATTCTCAAAGTGGCGCAACCAAAAAACTATAATTAGCACACGATCGTTCATGTCCGCACATGTTCTCTATTTTCTGTCTTATTTGTGCCTGAAGCTCGCTACTGCGGAGCTCATCACGTGCTGTGGTGATGTCACCTCACGCAGCATCGAAAACGCGCTCTGCACTTTGCGGTCAGGAGATCCCTTTGATCTGCTCAAAAGTAACTGATGAGGTGAAAAGGTAAGAATCCAGGCAACAGATTTTCTGGAGAATTAAGAGGAGATGCAGGAAGATGAGAGACAGACAGGACAGGAAAATAGTTAAATAAAAACAAGAAAACAAAACAAAGTGTTGAAAAGTAAAATGTAGGTAGATTTATCTCCACGACGTTTTTACCAGTAAAAAACATTAAGTTATACACATGTAATATTTATACATCTGATACAATTCAGATCACCTTCAAAACTCAGTCACACACCCAGGGCTGTTTCAAGACATTTTGGGGGCCAAGGCAAAAATGACGACCCCCCCCCCCCCCCCCCCCCCCCAATAACTGGGCTCCCCAGAAGCCTCTGTGTAATTCATGCCCTCTCCAGTAGTGTTAGTTATATGGTGTTTATAAAAGCCCCTCAGACATTACTGACATGTTCTAATATTATCAGATGAAAAACTAAATTATCAGACATGCTGTCTCATCTGCTTCTTTTATAAACTTGCAAAAAGTAACAAAACCATTTGAAAGCCACTATTTGTGGATTCTCTGAAAGTTTCCATGGAGTGTGTGACAACTTATTTTTTCATTGATCGTATCGTCTAATCTCACAGCTGAAACAAGCATCCTTAATAATCTGTGCACAGGAAGCTTACCGATGCTGTAGTAAAACAAAAGGTATAATAATTTATTATTAATAAAACCTTGTTGCAGCACTAAAGCAGAAAAATTAGATTTTGCATTAAATATGCAAAATATTTACATATGAATTGTTTTAGAGCCCTTTTATTGGCAGAATCTGATATTAATTTAGTTCTTACAAAAAATGGGTCCCAACATGGTTTGTGTGGTGTTGCCATAGTGTGACGTCATAGGCACAGATCCCCTGTCCTCTTGTTTGGAAATGGAAATATGATCACCCTACATTAAACAAACTGTCCACCCGGGCTTTTGCACTGCACAGAGACGCTTCGCTGCCTACGACTGAATGTCAGTTGAGAGTCAGTCTCATGCAGACTGACCAATGAAGAGAGGGCCTCAAGTTAAGACCCTCTCCTCATTGGTCAGTCCACACGAGGTGGGTCAAAGGTTACTCTGGGCGGGTTACATGTTGTCAGGCATTCAAGTATTGAGTATATTTACTGCATATTACAGTAAAATATTCTGTATGTGACCACATTATGGTGATCCTTGGGTCGTGATGATGGAGCCCTTGAATATTGTTGAACAGGGTACAACAAAGTGTTAATCTGGCCCTGGTTCTGCCGTCACATTCCCGCAGAAACTGGTTGATCACACCGGGGCCAGACTACTAGCATGTGGTTTTACAACCACAATGTCCTCAGAAGCAAAAACGCTTTTAAAAGGGAGGGAGGAGTCCTAACTGTTGCTGCAGGCGTGTTGTGTGAGAGTGCAGTTATATACTGGTTAATATATTTTTGGGTTTAGTTGCTTTCATGTGGCCTAATGTGAGTCTATTTGGGATCATTGGAATGATCAGCAGCATTTCTTGATGTGACTTTATGGCAGTTGCCCAGGGCATCATCGCAAGGAGGATGGCATTCATTTACTTTTGTTTTATTTGGTATTTTTTCAGTCATTTTTGGAAATAGTGATCAATTTTGATTAATTCACAGCCTATGTTTAATTACATTTAAAATAAATGTCAGCAGATGAGATCAAACAAAACAGATGAGAATTGCCCTTAAGCTATTTAACTTGGACCAAGCATTTTAGGTCACAGATAGGTGTAGCTTAGGGTCTCTGTCTATACACCTTATAAGACAATTTAGGTGATGGCATGTTGTTTTTCTGCTATTGAACTGTTTTCTAATAATGTTGTGTTAAATAAAGTGAAGGAAGGAGAGAAATAACGTTTCCCTAGCAGTTTTTAAAAATTTCCCCATGTAATCCGATTAATCGATTAATCGTGTCGAGACCCCATCCGATTAATCGATTATCCAAATAATCGTTTGTTGCAGCCCTAGTAAATAGGCCCGTTCATCTGGCCTCCTAGAACAACATGTGAAAGGTTAAAAAAATATTTTGCAGTTGTTTTCTAAATTTGGGTTTCTGGGGGTTAAAAAGCTAAATAAAACGTCGAGCTCCATCGTTTAAGGTTCCTTCTGCCCAGCGGTTCCACGGTTGCTAGGCGACGGAACGTTCGCCGAGGGAGTTCATGAAGGCTAGGCCTGTCCAAATTCACAGCCGTTAACATCCGGTCTACCCGGCCGACGGAGGACGCAGCCCACGTCGGCCGGGTGGGCTGGGTCCTTCGAAGGATGCAGACCCTGAATTGAGACACAGCCAGTGCCCGATAAGAGTCGCGCGTGCGCAGACACACCCCACCGGATTGCAAACTTACTCCGCTGAGCAAATTCAACACAACATCGATTTACTAGAGTTGTGTAATCTAACCGATCAAATGAATAATACATTACTTTAAGCTGCAAGAATGAGACTGAGCGCGCTGTTTACTGTAACAAGCAACATGTAAGGACTCACACGCCTCCAACTAAACAATTATGCTTATTTGACCGACTTTTTTCTAACTACTGTTGATTCATTTAGGATTATTTGTTCCAAAATGTGAGTTTAAAAAGGTGTTTTGTGTAAGATTTAAACTTTCTGTATTTCTGTTGTCTTATGTCTTGTATTAAATGTAAGTTAACAGTCAAAAGTTAATCTCAGATTTTTTTTGTCTTCCAAAAATATTTAAATAAAATCAATTTCATGTTTTAGTTTATGTACTTTTGTCCAAAGCGACTTACAAGAGATAATCAAGCCAGCAGGTTGCCCTTGAGGCTTAACCACAGTCCATCCTAGGTGGCAGTGAGGCAGCATAATAAATCATAGAGGGAAGTGAACATGGAGTGTGCAGTAGAGTGGGGGACGGGTGCTGGGAGGGTGCTAGTTTTGAAGATGCTCTGAAGAGCTGGGTCTTCTGGAGTTTCTTGAAAATCGCCAAGGACGCCCTTGTTCTAAATTCTTAATGCCAAATGTGGCTAAATAATTATTAAAGGTTTTTTATATTTTAAATTTGGTTTCAGTTAGATTTAAGACACAACACAGGTCTTTGTTACAACAGTGGTAGTTATGTTCTGTCTAATATTCCTGTTTTTTTCTCCAGAACAAGTTCACTTGGCCTTGTCTGTTTGGGATGAAGACTTCTCTGATCATCAACAAGAAGAGGAGCAGAGTGAGCCAGTCTGGAGCTCAAAGATCCATCAGGATCCTCCAAAGCAAACAATGAGCAGCCTGAAGGAGCAGCATGAGGAACTGGAGGAGAGCAGTACCATTAAATTCATTTTCATGCCGTCACATGGCAAGGACAACCAGTCTAATGAACCAAAGGCTGAAGAGGAGGAAGGAGATCCTCAGCCAAGCACTTCCAAGCAACAGGATTGGACAAAAGGTGATGATGGGACTTCCACCAGCTGTTCCAAAGCTGACAGTGAAGAAGAGTGGAGTGCTGACAATGGAAAGAAGTCACAGAAGAAGAAAAAGAGGAAGAAGGGACCTCGTCTACCACTGGCTCCAAAACTGTTCCCAACCAAAAAGAACAAGCCTCTGATTTGCTGCAAAGTCTGTGGGAAATCCTTCCACACTCGCATTCCATTGGTGAATCACACGCAAGCTCACCCAAAGGATGTCTGCGGCGTGTGCGGAGAACGCTTTGACAGCAAAGAAAGCTTTGACGTTCACCTGAAAACGCACGTGAAAGCAGAAACCTGCAGCTTTTGTGGCAAATGCTTTGGGACCACCAGCGCTTTGGAGATACATATGAGGATCCATACAGGAGAGAAGCCATTCGCTTGCAGCGAGTGTGGGAAATCATTCAAAAGTCGACCCAACCTGGTACGACACATCAGGATCCACACGGACGAAAAACCGTATTTGTGCACGGTCTGTGGGAAATGCTTCAATGATTACACCACCCTGAAACGCCACCTGCTGCTTCATACAGGCAAGAAGAACAGCAGTACAGACAACGCATCTGAAAATGAAAACGGCAGCAAGAAGAGTTTGTCGGCAAAAAGGGCACAGGCTGTATGTGTGGTGTGTGGAAAGATATGTTGCTCTGTGGTTTCTCTGATAAATCACACCAAAAGCCACGCTACAGACCTTTGTGGCATTTGTGGGACACACTTTGACTCAGAAGAAAGCCTAAAAATTCATTTAAAAATGCATAAAAATGGGAAGGCGTGCGAGGTGTGCGGGAAGTGTTTCGACAGTCAGGGACACCTGGAGATACATAAGAGGATCCACACAGGTGAAAAGCCGTTTCCCTGCAGCGAGTGTGGCAAGTCCTTCAACACCCAAGCCAACATGATGCGACATGTCAGGATCCACACTGGTGAGAAGCCGTATACCTGCTTGGTCTGTGGCAAATGTTTCAGTGACTACTCCACTCACAAACGCCACCAGCTGATTCACACAGGTAAGAAGAGCTTCAGTCCACAAAACCCGTCTGCAAATAAAAGCGTTGAAAAGAAGAAGAATTCCCCTGGCAAACAGTCACATGTTGTGTGTGAGGTGTGTGGGGTGGTGTTCCGCTCCACGTTCTCACTGGTGAACCACGCTAAAACTCACACCACGGACCTCTGCAGCATCTGTGGAACTCAGTTTGATTCAGTGGAAAACCTCAAACGTCACCTCAAAACTCACAAAAATGGCAAAGTGTGCGATGTGTGTGGGAAGAGTTTTGACTATCAGGCAACCCTGAATTCACACATGAGAATCCACACGGGCGAGAAGCCTTTTGTCTGCAGCTTCTGCGGGAAGTCCTTCAGGTTCCAAGCCAACATGAAGAGACACGTCAGGGTGCACACAGGTGAGAAGCCGTACCAATGCGCCATCTGTGGACGCGCCTTCAGCGACCTCGGCTCAATGAAGCAGCACCGCAGCATGCACACCGGAGAGAAACGCCATCGCTGTGAGGTGTGCGGTAAAGTATTCCATCGGAAGACGTACGTCAGGCTTCACATGAAGATCCACACCACGAAGAAATGATTACTTTAAAGAGTCTGGAAAATTAAACAGTGTGATGTCTGAAACTGGGAGAAGTTTTAACAGCATTATCCCATAACTACACTGATTAGCTTTAATATATATTTTTTGTAAATATGAAACTATAAGACATCAGTGATGCACCAAACATTGGCTACTAACTCAAATCCGTGATTGGCTGATCTGAAACTTAAAATGAAGAAGTTGTGTGTCCTGGTCTTTGAATGCACCATTGCTAGTGCACTGCTAAATCATGCTAGCAATAGCAGTCTTTATTTCCCAAAATAATTTTTTTAGGTAATAAAAAAATGTAATTTGTTATTAGTTCTTTGTGGAAAAGTTTGAATTTGTCAAATCTGCAAGTCAAATTAGTACTCAGAAATCTGTATTGGCCCCCCAAAACCAGAATAGGTGCTTTTCTAAATAGTGAACCTAATTCCTCATTTTTATGACGTACCATTGCATTATTTAGTCTAGAAATGTGTTTTTAAGAGATCATCGTTGTTTTTGACTCATGGTGTGCCCGTTAACTTTTCTGATAAACGTATAAGAAAACAATGTCAACGCAAAATGCTTTATGTATCGTTAATCCATGTGGAAGAAATAAATCAGTTCTGAAATGTTTTCTTATTTCAGGATAAAAATCACAAGCACAATGCTTTTTTTTTTATTCAAAAGATAATAAAAATGAAAGTAAAAAAATTCAAAGACAAAATACAAATGAAGAAAAAGAAAATGAATCACGTGAAAGCCTGTCTGATTGGTTATGGCTTTTTTGCTGGAATATTTTAGTTTTAGAGGCAAACCCCGCTGAAAAATCTAAATGTTTCAAGTGTGAAAGGTTATTAAAATGTTTGCTAAAATTGATTATTTTTTGTTTAATATTCAGGATCATTACACACTTCCATAAATCAAATTGAAGTAGCTACTTTCAAGGGACGCTTTCAAGATAATCCAGGACCTTACATTGGCGATTATTTCCTTACACAAACAGCTAATAAAAGCTCAATATGATTCTTTCACTTCCTTGACCCAAATAAGTGAAAGTGTTTGTGCTACGATCGATGTCAGCTGTAGATTTATAAAAATTCAAGCACTTCTATTTTAAATCCTCCAGGATCAATAAAGTGATTCTGAAATATGACTTTATGCATCTATAGGAATCCTGAATATTGATCAGATCAAAGATGGATTCTTGAACTAAACACCCAAGTGGCAGGGCCAGATTAACACTTTGTTGTACCCTGGGCAACAATATTCAAGGACCCCATCATCACGACCCAAGGATCACCATAATATGGTCACATACAGAATATTTTACTGTAATATGCAGTAAATACTCAATACTTGAATGCCTGACATCACGTAACCCGCTCAGGGTAACCTTTGACCCACCTCGTGTGGACTGACCAATGAGGAGAGGGTCTTAACTTGAGGCCCTCTCTTCATTTGTCAGTCTGCATGAGACTGACTCTCAACCGACATTCAAAGTCATAGGCAGCGAAGCGTCTCTGTGCAGTGCAAAAGCCAGGGTGGACAGTTTGTTTAATATAGGGTGATCATATTTCCATTTCCAAACGAGGACAGGGGATCTGTGCCTATGACGTCACACAGGGCCGGCTTTGCCGACAGGCGACACAGGCGGCCGCCTGGGGCGCCATCTGATGGATTAGGGCGCAAAATGTAAAAAAAAAAGTGTATTAAATTTATGTTTGTAATATGAAATGCACTCTCTACATGTTAAAAATCTCCCTCTGAAATGACATGAAATTAAAACATCAATATTTAACTTTTTTTTTTTTTTTACCGTGTCCTGTCTGGCTGTGAAGCAAGCAGAATTGATGTCTGAATGCTGGTGACAAGCCTTACAGATTTACTCTCAGGTGGAGCATCAAAGCGTCTGCTTTTAATGTCACGCCTGATACTTAAAACTTTATTGTTATTGTTGTTGAATGCTTTGTAATTCCGACCAGACACGGAGACAGAGGTGAAACAGAAAGGAAAAGAAAAGGTGGGGAGGGGGGGGGTCCACAAAAATAAACAATGAACAAGAGTCTGCTTCTAGACCTGCAGAGAAAAAACAAAAAAAAAGTAGAAGGACAAAAAAAAAATAAAGGGACACAACAACAATACAACAAGATCTAGCTATCACTGCGTCAACTTGATGAAAAAATATATAATCAATATTGCTTAACTGAAGAATCACGATAATAAATCACAGTGCATTAAGTGCCCACCATAGTCTTAAGACCTGTGTTTAACGTGCCCAAGCCCATACTTTTGAGAGCACCATGTGAGCACCTGTGTGTGTACACGCGCTTGTTTATTTAAGGTTTCTCTATAGGAGCGTCCAACAGAGAGTGTGAGGGACCACAGATCCGCCCCCCAAAGATGCGCAGGAGACGGGGGGAGCTCCAAGTCCCAGAGATCCAGGCGCTGCCCCAGAACACAGGAACCCCAAGGAGACTGCAACCAGAAAGGCCCCCGCCCCCCTCGAGAGGCACAGAGGATCGCCCCGGGGGGCCACAACCAGCAGCCGGCAGAGTCCCGGGAGACATCAGCGGCAAGCCCACAGGCCCGCCCGCAACCTCCCACCCCCTAGCCAGCCGAGCCCGGGATCCAGCGACCCGGGACCCAGGGGCGACCACCCCTGCCGGGGACCCAGCAGAGTCCAGGGACCCAGACCCCACCAGGCAGCCACCGGGATCTATCAGGCAGATGCCAAAATCTTAAACCCCCAGACCCGGTTGCCACGAACACTCAGGCAGACCAAGGCACAACCCCTCACACCAGGTGTGGCAGGGGGAGGGGGGACGAAGATCTATATCATCAAGAGAAGTTCCAGGAGAGGGGAGGAGTCAAAGGCCCCACCTGACATACAGGTGCTGGCCAGTAAATTAGAATATCATCAAAAGGTTGAAAATATTTCAGTAATTCCATTCAAAACGTGAAACTTGTACATTATATTCATGCAATGCACACAGACCAATGTATTTCCAATGTTCATTACATTTAAATTTGATATTCATAAGTGACAACTAATGAAAACTCCAAATTTGGTATCTCAAAAAATTAGAATATTCTGAAAAGGCTGAATATAGAAGACACCTGCTGCCACTCTAATCAGCTGATTTACTCAAAACACCTGCAAAGGCCTTTAAAAGGTCCCTCAGTCTTGTTTTGAAGGCACCACAATCATGGGGAAGACTTCTGACTTAACAGCTGTCCAAAAGACAATCATTGACACCTTGCACAAGGAGGGCAAGACACAAAAGGTGATTGCTAAAGAAGCTGGCTGTTCGCAGAGCTCTGTGTCCAAGCACATTAACAGACAGGCGAAGGGACGGAAAAAATGTGGTAGAAAAAAGTGTACAAGCTCTAGGGATAACCGCACCCTGCAGAGAATTGTGACGACAAACCCATTCAAAAATGTGGGGGAGATCCACAAAGAGTGGACTGCAGCTGGAGTCAGCGCTTCAAGAACCACCACGAGGAGACTCATGAAAGACATGGGATTCAGGTGTCGCATTCCGTGTGTCAAGCCACTCTTGAACAAGAAACAGCGCAAGAAGCGTCTCGCCTGGGCCAAGGACAAAAAGGACTGGACTGATGCTGAGTGGTCCAAAGTTATGTTTTCTGATGAAAGCAAGTTCTGCATTTCCTTTGGAAATCAAGGACCCAGAGTCTGGAGGAAGAGCGGAGAAGCACAGAATCCACGTTGCATGAGGTCCAGTGTAAAGTTTCCACCGTCAGTGATGGTGTGGGGTGCCATGTCATCTGCCGGTGTTGGCCCACTCTGTTTCCTGAGGTCCAGGGTCAATGCAGCCGTCTACCAGGAAGTTTTAGAGCACTTCATGCTTCCTGCTGCTGACCAACTTTATGGGGATGCAGACTTCACCTTTCAACAGGACTTGGCACCTGCACACAGTGCCAAAACCACCAGCACCTGGTTCAAGGACCATGGTATCCCTGTCCTTGATTGGCCAGCAAACTCGCCTGACCTTAACCCCATAGAAAATCTATGGGGTATTGTGAAGCGGAGGATGCAATACGCTAGACCCAACAATGCAGAGGAGCTGAAGACGACTATCAGAGCAACCTGGGCTCTCATAACACCTGAGCAGTGCCACAGACTGATCGAGTCCATGCCACGCCGCATTACTGCAGTTATTGAGGCAAAAGGAGCCCCGACTAAGTATTGAGTGCTATACATGCACATTCTTTTCATGTTCATTCTTTTCAGTTGGCCAACATTAGAGAAACAAACATTTTTTCATTGGCCTTTAGAATATTCAAATTTTCTGAGATACCAGATTTGATGTTTTCATTGGTTGTCACCTATAAATATCAAAATTAAACGTAATAAACATCGGAAATACATTGGTCTGTGTGCATTGCATGAATATAATGTACAAGTTTCACGTTTTGAATGGAATTACTGAAATATTTTCAACCTTTTGATGATATTCTAATTTACTGGCCAGCACCTGTATACAGTCATACACAAACACAGTCACACACTCCCTCCCTCATGCTCACACATGCACATACAACCCAAGACTTACAAAAATGCACGCCGGACACCGACTCATGCTCCCCATACACACCCTATTCACTCTGGTCTCGGTACTGCTGCACATTGGGTACAACCATCACCGGTAACCAGAGTTTGACCCTTTCTGCTGGGGTGCTGATGAGCAGGCTTCCCCGCCCAACACTAAGCACAGCAACCTACCACCCCAGACCCCAACCAGACGGCCAGATCTCCCTCCTAGTCTCCAGCCCCAGGAAGCCAATTAACAACAGAGGTGGCTAAAACCCCTAGTCTCCCTCCGCCTGCTCCAATATAGTGTTGTGTGATCATGAGGTGTATTCCATGGCTGTGGTGAGTGGGCAGTGCGGGCATCATCCGGCCTATGCCAGCTGATGCCACCGCACCACCCCACTTACACCCTCAGCCATCAGTGTCTAAGTGCGGTTTAAAATTGGAAGTGGGCACCAGCACCCAGGAGGAGGCTGAGATATCCCCCTGCCAAATGCTGTTGAATGTGCTCACTCCCAAGGCCCTAAGTGTGTGTTTGTGTGGAATGTCGTCAGTGGAAGTGTATAAGGTGCAAATAAAATTGGGGGGCAGATTGCCACAGGAATGCGGAAATGGGGTCCATACCCGCACTCCCTGACTTGCCCACCCCCCAAGGTCCTATGTGTATGTTTGTGTGATGATGTGAGGGAGCAGGAGGAGAGAAATATGCGGGGATGGGGAGGAATGGCTGGTTGGGCTTAGCCCTCCAGGGAGCCACCTCCCCTACTGTCCCCAATAGGCACCTCCGTTGTCAAACTGCCACCCAGGGCATGGAGACCCCAGCCCATCCTGCCAGGGCCCAAAGCAGCAGCATTACAGAGCCCTACGGAGTCCGAGGGCACCAACCCAGCCCCACCCCAGCAGAATATCTATGCCCATCCCTGCATTTGCACAACTTCCAGAATATATAAGACATGGGACATCCAGGTAGGGTTGGGTCCTCCCCCTCCTGGACCTCCCCCTCCCCTGTGATGGAATGGCAGAGGAGCCAAGGTCTACCTGAGGCCCCTGAACCCGGGCCAGGCACTGCTGCGTGTTCCTGCCTTCTTCCCGGCAGCATACATGTCA